TAACAACACATGACAATAATAATAACAAGTTAAAAAAGAAAGAAAGATTTTTGATGACGATTAACACGTTTAGTCAAGAGTCGTTACACATTTCAATCAAAGCATTCGCATTCGTCCGAGATGCAATGACATGTGTTATGTTGTTACTGCTTGATTACATCGCACGAAATATATACGTAGATCAAAAAAGAAACTATTGGTGACAGTCGTTGAAAGAAAAAGAATATTCGTTTGATATTATCATATTTATGAGTTAACTTATGTTAAGAGGAGAAATTAAATGATACTGACCTAGTTTCTCGTCAAGTATACACACACACACACTTGTTCAATCGTATCCGTTAGATTAAAACAGTTGACAATTTATTAAATCTTTCTATGATCAAATGAAAGATGATACTGATCAAAATATCAACATGTCTTTTTATTTCTGACTATTGATCATAAATCACGATACTCATCTTCATTAGTTAAACAAAATGAAAATCATATATATCTATATATCTGTTCTTTATTCTTTTGAATTAGTACCGTCTTCAATAGATCAAATGAGATAAGGCAGAGAAAAATGGTACCATCGATTCGCTTACCTGCAAATTGACAAAATGAAGTTTTTTTCTTTTTGAAGAATGATGCGTTACCGTTTCGCTTGTATGAATAGATAAAGATGAATTACATGTATGTTCCGCCTTTCTTTAGATAAATTAATTTATAAAATCAGTATTTGAAAAGTTCACATTTGTTCTTATGTTATTCGATGATAACCTTTCTATTCTATGAAATTTGATTTTATGACATTCGATGTATGATTAATAATAACTTAAATAACATCTTAATGATAAAATATTGAGAAAAAAAAACATCAAAATTTTCATGATAAGAAATGACATTGAACTTCATACAGATTTATCATACGTATTCAGTAACCTAACGAGGGAACTACCCGATGTACCAAAAAGCTTTTACCTTAAACTTTGTCCATGCTAAGGCCTCAATCAGACAAGCTTGCCTACAAAGTTTCAGAAATTTTAAACAGATTATCTCCGAGATATGAAGCCGTCAAAATATTCATGTGAAACCTAATATCTATAAGAAAGCGTCGTTATGCTAACATACTTGTATCCCGGATACAGTCTTCCAGAAATTTCTGAGATTTCGTAAGCAAGCTTGTCTGATTGAGGCCTTAGTATGGACAAAGTTTCAGGTCTAAATTCGAAATTTTCATTTTACCGCACAGATAGGACCCTATAGCACAAATACAATAAATAGTCGATATCTCAAGCAATCATCATCTTAGGCACATATCCTTTTAGACTTTTTCTAGTCTATGGATCATCTACTTATGAGCAAAATTTCAGCTCAAAAGCTTTTTGATACCTCGAGTAGTTCCCTCGTAAGTAAATAATATAAATAAATGTCAACTGTCACGTAGCGCCATCTAATATTATATAAAAATTTTTTTATCTTAAAAATTATATTCATAATTTCTAATTTTAATAAATTTTTTGGTGAAAATTATTAGATTAATTAAATTCGATTATTAAAAATATATATCGATATTTCATACGACAAACAAACAAGTAGCCACATATCAATTATTGATCTAGACCTATCCTATTGGGAATCAGTATAATAGAAAAAATAATAACACGTAATTGATATCCTTCCAATGTTTCGACGTGGTATTAATAAGCGACCACGTTTTAGTTTTGGTGGTCATCCTGTATTCGAAACTGACGATTCATCAAATCATTCGGGCCTTGGTCTTGCACTTGGTGTAGGTGATTATGAAGAAGATTCTTCATCACAACATCATATTACATCAGCTAATAGTTCTGATCCAAACTTTCTCCATGGTCAATCGGCTTCTGATCGACGACGTCGTGTTCAAAAAGCACCAACAAAACCTCCACAAGATGATAATACAAATTTAAATGCATGTATTGATCATCTTCTACGAATTCTATCACGTAAAGATAAAGAAGGCTTTTTCCAGTATCCTGTTACTGATCAAGTAAATAACAACAATTAAAAAAAATTTTTTTCTATATAATTATAAAATTCTTTGTTTAGTTTGCGCCAGGTTATTCACAAATAATCCTCCGACCAATGGATTTTTCTACCATGAGAAAAAAGATGGTCCAAGATGAATATGCAAATGTTCTTGAATTTCGTTCAGACTTTGAACTTATGTGCGAGAATGCTATGAAATATAATCGTCCAGATACAATTTATTGGCAAGCAGCAAAAAAACTTCTAGCAACAGGCAGTAAATTAATGCATAAAGATAAATTAATTAGTTTTCGTCGTAGTGTGGAATGTTTTTCACGTTTAACTGAACGTGAATTAGGTTTTCGTATTGATTCATCAAATCATGCAATTGATGAACAAATAACAAATTCAAATGATCAATTTGATTCATCTCTAAATGATCCTGAAAATCTTTCATCAATGAGTGTAAGTCAAGCATGTTCACAACGTAAACCAAAATTAATATTAAAATTACCTAAATTTTATGATAAAACCCCTACTACATCAATTACTAATGAAGTAGTAGTAGTAGAAGAAGAAGATGAAGAATTTTCACCAGAAGAAATTCTCCTACAAGCACGACAAGCTGCACAATGTGCACATGAAAAATTAAATTTACGTCATTCAATTTGTTCATATACTCTTGCATATCAACGTGTAAATAATACAACATCATTACGTTTTGTAAATCAAGATAATTTTTCTCAACAAACCATTACACTTGGTGAAATAAATAATTTACCATCTAATGAAAATCTATCTTCGACATTACCAATTGTTAATGAAAGTGAAAAACGAGATAATTTAACAACAAAATATTCATTTGAAAATGGTCCTTTTTCATCAAATCCATCACAAAATGATTCAGCATTTTCTTCGATATCAAAAGAAGAACTTGATCTATTGATACATACATATGGAAGTGAATTTTCAGCACAATATGCTGTATCATTGATGGATTATGTTAAAGATGCTGGAGATTTAGCATTAGCTTATGTTGATAGATTTTTATCAGTATTAACCAATGGTGAACATGATAATTTTATTATGAAACGACGTGAAAAACAAGTAAAAGAAGAAGAAGTTGATAATAAAACTATTGCAACAACTACAGCTACTCCTGGTAAGTAAAATTTCAGTCAATAGATGAAAGTTTTTGAAATGATAATTATATATTTAGTTCTTTCTAATGATTCAACTTCTATTCAAATTAAAATAGAACCTTCAATAAATAATAATCATGATTCACCACAACAACAATTCGATATAAAACCTGATGATAGTTCTAAACTTATTATGCAACTACGTCAAACGCCATCAAATCAACTTCATCAAGTTATTTCACCACCACAACAAACTAATGACTTTGATATAACTGATAAAGTTCTCTTTAATCTCAGTGATATAACACAAGTATCTAATGGACCTGGACAAATAATCTCATCGGAAGCTATCCATCATAATTTAGGCATTATAAATAACAATGAATCAACATTTGACACATTGTAACCAAAAAAATAATCTTTATTTATTTTGTACAAACGAATTATTATTATTCTAGAAAAAGAAAAAGTTAGGGACAGTGACAGATTCCTACAATGTGTATATAAGTTTATTTTTTCAGATTGTGATATACTTAATATACAAATTCTTGTTTTTGATAGTATTAAAATTAAACATATTTGTTTGTTTGTTTTTTAGATCTAATCTAAGATTGTTTTAAACATTCGAATAATCAATATGTCAAAAGCTGATCATTCAATCCGAGTTTTACCAGTAATTTAAAGAAATTTTTTTATAGAAAAAAAAATATTTTTGTCTTCTCTTCAATAGCTCCGTTCAATTCAAGAATTTGTTGGAGGTAATGAATGGTCAAAACCAACATTTGATCCTAAAGAATTTGGTGAACTTCAAAAACATATTGTTTCAAATTTAATCTATTTTCAATCAAACTACGGTGCTATTATCATACCTTTTCTTTTATTAATCGCGTAAGTTTTTTGTTTGTTTGTTTGTTTTTATTTATTTACAATTTTTTATCTTTAGCTTTTTTCGTCCATCGGCAATCATTTTTGGTCTTATTGTTATTGCTATTCTCGTTGCTGGTTATGTCTATTCAACTCGCCAAAAAATTGCATTACCACCATTTTTACATGATCGACCAATTTTTATTCTCTTACTCGTTCTTGTAACTGCGTTTATGATTATTCGAATGTTTGGAACAGTTTTTATCTTTGTAATTGGCATTGCTCTTCCATTAGTTTGTAAGTTAGAAAAAAATATTTTGAATATAATTCTATTGTTTTATTATGATATCTTTTAGCAATCGTTGCTCATGCAACAGCCCGTAAAACATCATTAAAAAATAAGGCAGAAAATACAGCTGAAAATCTTTCATTACAAGCTACTCCAATGGGTCTCTTCCTTAGTTGGTTAGGTGCAAAAGCAGAAGAACAACAACAACAACAACAACAATCATCTGTACCACCAACCAAACGCCGATAGATATTTTAAGTCATATTTTGTTATTTCGTTTTATTTTCAGAAAGTCATGAAATGAAACAGTTTTTTGTTATTGTTCTCGGGAAACATTTTTCTTTTTGTGGTTTATCTATATTTGGTGATCTGTTTTGTGTGTGTGTGTTTATTTATGGTGTTAGATGGGTGCTTTTCGAGTGCAATTCGTTTTTTTCTCACATATTCAGGCTTGATCTCTATACATTTTATTTTCTCTTAAAGAACCTTTTTTTTTGTTTTGCGTGTTTAGAGAATTGTTATTCATAGAAATGTTTTTTGGACATGATTAAAAAAACAAGAGATATGATAAATTTGATTTCTATAGCATCAAAGAAGTGCTGGGTTGAAATTACTCGATATGAATTTATCCAAAAATAAAAGCCAAATACTTTATAGGATTTATAATTTGAAGTATGGTAAAGTATAGTGCTACGCCCATTTTCAATGTTGAGCGGCACATTAGCTCAATCGCAACCGTTTTGGGCTAGTCAAACTTAATAAAACTTAAAGCTATGAATAAAATTTACGAACTTATTAAATACAAAGCACTCTGCTCAATATCAGGCCTACATTGAAATAAACGGAAGTTCGATGAACTTCCACCAATATTGGCGAAAGTTAGGGTGCGGCGGTTTCATTTTTATGGAACCGAAAACCGACCCGAAACCAAACTGGAACCGCTCTTTTCTCATCTCTGCTGACCGGAACCGCCGTACTCTAGCGAAAGTGATCACGGTCACCCAACTGCATCACCGAAGTTGACTCCTCGATTTCAGATATTCTTTTATGTATATGTAAGAAAAAAATGTCTGTAAAACCAAGTTGAACAGAGAAGAAAATAGATTTAGTAATATGATTCATTCGGGTTAATATAAGATTGAAAATTACATGCTGAAGTTTGACAAGTTCAAGTGCAATTGTTGTAATACTCGTATTTGAAAAAAGCTTAAGTTTTAATTTCAAGTTATATTTCAAATAAAAGTAATAAAGATACAAAAGAGTGAATTCAAGAGTATAAAAATTATTATATTTACATTTATAGATAGTATCAACAATATAGTGAGTGGATCTTGTTTTATCTGACGCTCACATTTGACATCGGCCTTTCATATTGAAATCGGATACTGAGTAGTATTTAACTGATTAAATAAATATGGACCGTTAGCAACTCCATTATTCGAGTTTTTATAGAATATGACCGGTTAATTAGAATCTATGTAGGCTTCAATCATTTGAATATTTTTCTTTTACATTCAGAGTCAACAAAACATTAACATACTGAATGAATTTAAAGTGATATAATATTTGTTTATTAAAAAAATATAACAAAAATAAAATAAAGTTTATTATTTAAAGCCACCATTCAATAACATCATCTAAATCATTGCTCAATGGTCTAATCATATCATGAGATGGTGGATAATAAATAGTTGGTCGAATAGGATATTCTCTTCCATGTTCTCGAAAAGCTACACGAATTTTATCTCGACTTGTTATTGGTTGTGTCCAATTTGTTTCAGGAGTATCATCAGGTAAAGTATGTCGAAGAAATGAAAGTTCCGGTTGAAAAAGAATATCACAATATTTTTTCGAACCATGAGCATAACGTGGATGTGTTTCAGGATAATGTGGTGTGAATGTTGTAAGAAAAAAAGTAATACGATCAAATTCAAATACCCAACCTTTTTCACCAATACGTTTTGGTGAAACACTCATACAATGTCGTTTAGCTGGATCATGATCCGAAAGAAAACGAAGAATTTGTTTAAATACTTGACCAAAATCCTACTCGTTAAAAAATTAAATTTAGAAAAAAAACAAACAAATTTATAGTTCACTTCAAGAGTTGTTGTTAAATCATTATGAGGTATTTCAATGACATAACCATCAATAGATGTTTCCTTGACAAATGCACAAAAGAGAATAAAACTTGGTAATAATCTATATTCAATAAAACAAATATAAAATTGATAAGAATTCGTTTTATTTTTCATTACCTTTCACAGTTATCTTCAATCGATATATTGTCAAGCCAATGCGGCGCATTCCAACATCGTGCTCGTTTAGCAAATATACAATCAGATTTATTTTGTATCCGATGAAATTCATGAAATGATGATGATTGACTTGCATTGAGATGATGTTCAAATAAGATTTGTTTTGCATGGCTAATATAAAAAAAATATATATGTATTAGACAGAATCGGATGATACTAGTTTTACGCTTTTAGTTCTTAATTATGAGCAATAAAGAATTAATACATACTCAACTACTGTTTTCGATACATTTTGATCATTAGTCGACAAATTAACTTTATCATTTGCATGTGATGATGAACTACGTTTTTCAAGAAGATAAAGCGTACCTATAAAAAAAATTTATTCTTTAATATCATTCAGTTCATATTGATTTTTTTTTATTTAAGTAACATAACTACAGTTTAATAACAAGAAGAAAAAAATATGTTTTTAAATTTTATTTTTTGGATCGTTTTGATTTTGTTGTTGTCAGTTCTACTGTTTTTTTTACTACAGTTGTTGTTATTGTAGATGATGTTTTTTGTCCGATAGGTATATCATATCGAACATTTCCATGAAGTTTTAATTCTTGTTGACATTGTTCAATAATATCATCTGATAAATATTCACAAATAAGATCAAATGCATGTTCTTCATCTTCAACATGTTTTTTAAGACGATCAATTCGATCACGAATCCATAAAAATAATTTCTCATTATTTAATTTTATTAAATTTTTTTTTAAATCAATATCACAAATGGATTGAAGTTTTTCAAAGATGAAATCATTATCTAATTGTAATTGTTTAAATGAATCATTTATAATTTTTGTTAATGGAATAGAATTTAATCGAGCATGAGACCAAAGTGAAGGTAGAAGAAGAAAGATTATATTTACTGGAGTAATTATATATAAAGATCCATCTGGTAATACATGTTGATCATTAATAAACCAACTTGAATGTGAACGAGTAGATTGAATGAGTTCAAATACTGTTTTTGTTTGTTGATCAATAGCATATGATTGTTCCTGTTTTGTACGAGGATGCTGAAGTTGAATAAAATGAAATTGTTCACCATCAATTGGTACAAGACGTTTATCCACAATTAAAACACGATCGGGTGTTACGATAGATGACGACATCTAAAACTTAGTAATTTTTCCTATATTGAACTTACCAAGAAGAAGAATAGCTGCTAGGATTGATTTAATATTTATATGAATGGCAAAAAGAAGGAATATAACAAATGATGATATTCGTATTCCTGAAACCACATTATCTGGTAAAAGAAGTTTATACATATCTAAAATGAGTTGTTTTTTAGTAAGTAGTTCGGTCTAATGTGTAATTGTTGGTTTTAATAACTGGTGAAATAACCTTAGAAGACAAAAAAATAAAGTAAAAATCAATGGTAAGGTGTCACAGTTCGATGACTCATACTTTTATTATCAAATTAAAACAAGTATTACTGTACTGATGTCTTTAATTTACATTTTGGACGCAATAACTTTTATACTATAAATAATTTCTTTAAAAAATTGGAAATTTTATTTATATTGAAATAAAATCTTTCTTATTACATGATAAGTCTTTTTAATCAAAAGCGATTGACATGTGCAGCCCTCTTTAATATTCAGTATATATTATCGAAGGCGCTATAAGTTTCAACATCGAATTGTTGTAACAGATCTTTTTGTCTTGTACAATTTGCTTTAGAATACTCTCCAAAAGCCATATACAAAATTGTCATTCTCGTGTATATTATATGGCCCAGTATGAAAATTAAAGATATACTATCTTCAATAATTAGGTATACATTCAAAACATTGCGTCGACATTGACTTTTAAGCAATTTCTTCAAACCAAAATCATTTTTTTTTTAGTTTTTAATTATGATATGAATTGAAATACGATTAAATAGCAAAAAAAAATTATTTTTGATTTATTATCAGGTAATAAGACGTTGATTATACTGCTTTTGAATTTATACTTTAAGTATTTCTAAAAATAAATTATATTGAAACTAAGTAATGTACAAAATTTTAATATATTAATATTCATCTACTATGACAGTAAAGAATTACATTTACGATATTATTTATCTTGAAGTGTCTCAATACAATTTCTTCTCCTTCTCGTGCTTCATACAGCTTCACTTTTCATATATATTCAAATATACAGAATATTATAAAACTTTTACTATTTATTTCGTAACTATAGGTAATCCAAAAACAGATATTATATCGTTTTTATGATTTAATAAATATTTATTCTTAAAGTCTTTGCGATGTTTCAAATTATAAGATTTCAAAAATCAAATTAATAAATGTAAACTAATCATCGAGATTTGACATCATTTGTTTTTCTTCCCAATACGGTATTTTATTTTCATTTTAATTCTTGATCGAAAGAAAACAAAACTTTTTGACAATCTTAATAAAAATCATAGTTATATTTAGATGTTTATACTCCATGATCTTTAGCAATACAAAATAGACATTTTGAATTTATAATGTCGCTTATAGATTGGTGGGACAAAATTGAAGAACATTATATGATAAATAATTCACATAATTTATTTTTTTCTAATAATTGATCATGTGATCAAGAAATAAACTAAATGTTGCAATTTAATCAATAAGTATTTCATGAAAGAATGTAGTGCTGTTTGTAACATAACTTACATGTAGCTTTTTTTCCCATTTCTTCATTCGAGTCTAGTTTTATGAAAAAACATAAATCCTTTCAATATCTACTTCCGAGTAACTTGGACACATCATTTTGTGATTAACAAATACTCATTGTTACATAGGAAGTAACAAAATGCACGTAATTATTCATACACAAACATTCCAACATAAATGACTCATATCCTCTTTAATTTTAACTTAATAATGTAACCTAGTAACTTATTTTTATATGAAATTCTTTGTGTAAGTATATACGTCATCGGGAAACCGTTGTATGGCTTCAAGCGAATGTTGTCTGTGTTTAAATAAATTTATTCATATAGATGAAGTTGTGTAGGCGAAT